CCCCAACACAAATTATCACACTAGTTTGTTTTTGTTACGCTAAATGGCGTTCGCTTATTTCAGATCGGGGCTTTCTTATACAGACGCACGTTGGTGCTGCTGGTTTTCGGTCAAAAGACGTTGACTTCCTGCGCGATTTCCGCCAAGATTTCGACATCACTCTCTGTCAAATATACTGTTTCAAGTAGGGACGACGAACTTTTTAATTACTATTGCGCATTGTATTTGGGCTAGCAGCGAAAAGGTATACTGACGGCTGCAAAGGCGACTTTCTCACACAGATCAGTGGCAGTTGAGCCGCAGTTTAGGGTACGGCGCTTGTATTTGTTCTTAGCTTGTAACCGACTATAGGGGCCTTACGCACTACCCCCGCCTCGATTTCGTTGACATTATTATTGACCGTTATGGGGCCGCAAAAAACAGACGCGCGTATACGCGTCTCCCGTATAGCCCACTTTTGGTGGCGAAGCTCCCTATGCCGTGGGTCGTGCGTCCGCGATGTATGTATGTAGTAGTAGTAGTAGTAGTAGTAGTAGTAGTAGTAGTAGTAGTAGTAGTAGTAGTAGTAGTAGGTAGCCACCTCCACGGCCGCAATAGAGGAGCGTCACGCGCGCACCTTTTTGAATTAAGGAGGGAACCCGCGCACGTTATCATAAATAAAAGGATAGTTGTTTCTGATGAAATAACTTACAGAGACGAGCATTTGTGACTTAATCTTCAATAAAATTTGCCTTGAATTTGAAGTTTGCTATATATAAAAAAACTAGTCTCAGAAGGACGCACTTTGAGCACTATCTGACCAGAAGAGGTTGCCACAGCAAACTCGCTGGGCGTAACCACCTTGGTTTTAGCATGTTTAGTGAGGGTTGGGCCGCAGTGCCATGATTATAGGGAACTAATATACAGCCATAAACTAGAAGCGGTGAAAGGTGGGAAGTAGACACGAACCGCAGGCCGTAAAAAAATTGGCAGCATATCCACGGAGTGAGGGATGGAGAGTGGGGCGAAGCATCCGTCCGTCCATTCGTTCTTGCTTCCGTCCGTCCATGTGTCCGTCTGTGTGACTGTCCACGCGTCCATCCGCCCATCCGTGCGTGCGTCCGTCCCTGCGTTCGTCCATGCATCCGCCTCTGCGTCCGTTTATGTGTCCATCCATGCATCTGTCTGTGTGTCCGTTAGTACATCTATTCAACACTCCAAGTACCACTATCTCGCATCTTTTCATTATAGATTCCCCATATAGAAGCACCGCCATCCAGCGGACATTCCAAGGACTAAACGAGAGCTGGCACACGCACACTTCCCTACGGCTTCTGCTTCGGGTCTACTTCCCATTTTTAACCACCTCGAGTTCATGGTATATACTAGTTCACTGTATTTATGGCACTGCGGCCCAACGCTCGCTAAACCTTTCTAAAACCAACAAGGTTACGCCCAGTGAGTATAACGTAGCAACCTTTTCCTGTCAGATAGTGCTCAATGTACATGCCAATGGCTGCTAATGGGGAATGAGAGACAGGAGAATTGTGCTTTTACTTTCTTACGGCTTGCGCTTCGTATCTACTTCCCACCTTTAACCACCTCGAGTTCATGGTATATACAAGTTCATTGTATTCATGGCACTGCGGCTCAACGCTCGCTAAACCTTTCTAAAACTGAGGAGGTTACACCCAGCGAGTATAACGTAGCAACCCATTCTTGTTAGATAGTGCTCAATGTACATGCCGATGGCTGCTAATGGGTAATGAGAGACAGAAGCATTCGGCTTTTAGTTAATGCGCACGCCGCGAACTTTTTATAGTTCAACAAAGCACAGGAGAAATATCCCACCGGCACCACCTTGCAGGTCAAAATGTAACACGTTACACACTACGACTACGAGTACGAGGGACGAACGGGTACGTGCCACTTTAAGGAGCTTCGCCTCTAAAAAGTGCGCGAGTGCCACATCTGGTTAAGTCCTTGGTACGGATGGACGAACACAAAGACAGACAGACAGATGGAGGATTCACGGTTTAGCGATAAAACCCCCCGAAGCTTCGCTTCACTCATCATTCACTACGTGGAGATGCTATAATTTTATTTTATTTTTTTATCCTCTAGGCTTTGCGTTCTGGCGCTGCAGTCACTCAGGAAAAGTTGTCTACATGGATGAGTATCTTGCAAAGAATGAAATGGGTTCGGTGGCCTGTAGGTTTTAATCAGAGCATGCTTGATGAGGATGATATGATGCTCTTGGCATGAGCGGTGTTGTGTCGGCGGGCGGCGTCCGAACGACGGCAAGGAGCCCGACGACTGGACGCGGAACTCGGTGCGCGCCGGCAATCGGCCCACCGACACGAGCGAGTCAAACGTACTTCGCGGAACCCCAACAACAACTCGGCTGACGAGCAGCCGTTTATTAAAAGCACACCACGAAGCGACGCGTACACACGTAATTGGCTACTGACAATCACGTGTGCCGGTCTGCACTGACATCTAATATAAAGCACACAACAACTCGACAAACAGTGCGCGTCCTTCTCAAGGATGGCGCCACAACAAGCGGCACCATAGCGGTACCATGGGGATCGGCCAAGAGTCGAGCGGGTCATCTATACTCTGTTTAGTAGTCTATCGTCAGGGCGGATGATGACGATGATGCTCCTTGGAGGATTACACAGTCGTACGTGTCACGAACGCGCAGCGCGTGTGGTCACTTCGTCGTCATTACTTGCTTTTAGTTCGCGCGTGCCGGTTTTATGTTCAAGATCGCATGAGGCTTTCGAATGTATGGTTTTATCAGTCTGTGTAAAATTAACTTTCGAGGAACTGTACGTTAGCGTGTCATACTTTTTTTTTAAATACTCTGGCCACTTTAACCGCTGGCTTCTTAGCCAACCCTCGTACCCGTAGTGGGTAACTGCCATGGAATGAGGAGCGAGGAAAAGGTTTGAAACGCATCGGACATGGGCGCATTCCTTACTACGCAGACACCCGAGGTACGGCAGCTTTGTTTTACCTTTAATGTTTTCTACGGTATGTAGTGCCTGAAGAAAAGCATTGCAGATCCAATTTCTGGTCGGATCGGCGCAATATCCAAAATTGGATCACGAAGCCAGCGTTCTTTCTTTGCGACATACAGAAGACAGGCGCGGACTCGGACGCTTGAGAGGCAACACGGCTCCCGACCTGGTGTATTCTACGTAGATATAGCAGGGCCTTCGCCCACGGGATTTTACACGGCCTCTGTAGTTCACCGGGAAAAGCATGTCAATGGGCTCTCGTTCCGAGCACAAAATCCAGAGCGCGCTGAGGAAGTCGCGATAGCGCTTGCTGCTGCGGACCCCAACTCGAAAGTTATCATCACGGACTCCAGGAAAGCATGTACTCATTACTTGGTAGGAGAGATATCCCCCCTAGCCAGCCAAATTCTAAAACGGGCTCTCGCTGATCCAGCCCCGAAACGCATCGTATGGGCTCCTGGCCATCAGGGCCTACGAGGAAATGAGGCCGCTGACGCGGCCGCCCGAGCGCTTACCCACCGGGCTCCTCACCTTGGCTCTTATGACTCGGAGGCCAATACACCGCTGCTGCGGTTCAAAGAAATTCTCACCTATTATCGTGACACTCACCGTCTTTACCCGGCTCCTGCAAAGGGGCTGAGTAAGGCGGAAGAGCGAACTCTAAGGCGCCTGCAGACAGGTACTCTACTCTGTCCTGCAATCCTAAAGCATTTCGATGCGAACACAGATGGGCGGTGCCCACACTGTGGGGAGACGTGTGATATCTTCCACATGGTATGGGCATGTACGAAAAATCCCCACCTACCCCCTTCCCCTACCCCTTCCCGAGAGGCATGGGAGACTGCCCTCCTCAACTGCTCATCACTAGAGTCTCAACGGGCTCTGGTGAGACGGGCGCGAGTAGGGGCCTCGTCATGCGGTGTCCCGGACTAAGGACGCCGACCATGTAGCAGGGTCATGCTTTGGCCCCGTACCTCTCTCTTTTGTAATAAATGTTTTTCATCATCATCATCTTTGCGACATACGGCTTGTGCAGTGTCAGTGGAGTTGCATAGTGTACTTGCGTCTTGTTGATCCTTGTGTGCGTACACAGCAAGCGCAGTGCGTGGCATCGTGTTTAGGCGCTGGTAAACGCTGTGTGGACGCAGCTGTGTGGACGCTGTGTGAAGCAGTACCTTATAGCTACCAGACCGCCGCGGCGGGCGGCACGTCACAAGAAAAGAGCCTTCTCACTGGCGCGTTCGATAATGTTCGTATGCGTAACTTGTGGAGCTCATTCCAGCACCATCGTTCAAGGACAATATGCTACGGTGTGGCCGAATCTCCGGTGGTGCTGAAATTAAAATTCGTCCTAGATGGCCCGTCCGTAAAGCGTAGGGTGTAAGGAAAGTGCCCTATATAGGACTTTGCGATCACCACAGTGGTATACTTGCCGGCCAGGTGTACGAGCAGGCCCGAACCGTCTTGACAGACTGCACGCTCTCCACGCGTCGACGCCACATCAGCCGCTGCTATAAAAACAGGGTGCGAATTAGACGCGTAGATGAAATGAAAAAAAAAATGTACGAGACAAAAGGCCGTTTCCGCGTCGGCTGACCAGCGTCGTGCTTTCCATCCGCAGTGAACCATCGCACTGGACCGGTACGCAACAGTCTTGTTCATCCGTGGCCTCCAACCCTCGTGGGAGTGCTACTCAGAGCCGTTGGGTAGGGGGCAAAATGTGACAGACAAGTGAACGTCGTTTGGTAACCTATGCAGAAAGAGATCGTCTTACGCAGCCGTCGGCGGCACTTCTGGTTGTTTGTGACAGGACGCATGCCGGGTACGGTATAGGATCGCAGTCGGTGGTCCTTAAGCGCAGATTACCGTCGAGTCCAGGAAATCGACGATGGTTTGCCCTTGTGTCTTTAGTGGTGCATCTCTTTTCTATTTACAGTGTCCGTTCTAGCAGGGACGAGTGGATGTGTGCCTGACCGAGTGTGTGTGTGGTTGCAGGTGTTCGCGCACAAGTCTGCGATGCAGCAGCACTCGCGCGAGGCCCACCGCGGCGACCTGAAGCCGCACCAGTGCACCCAGTGCCTCAAGTCGTTCTCGTCGACGCACCAGCTGGCGCAGCACGCGCGCATCCACACGGGAGAGAAGCCGTACAAGTGCTCCTACTGCGAGCGCCGCTTCAAGCAGCTCTCGCACGTCCAGCAGCACACGCGCCTGCACACCGGCGAGCGGCCCTACAAGTGCCACGTCGCCGAGTGCGGTCGGGCATTCATCCAGCTGTCCAACCTGCAGCAGCATTTGCGAAATCATGACAGCCAAATGGAACGCGCCAAGAGCCGACCCTTCCACTGCAACATATGCGGCAAGGGCTTCGCGTCGGATAGCAGTCTGCGGACTCACAGATCCAAGGTATACTCCTTTCTCCGACATTGCCACAGTTCTGTCTTTGTTTGTTTGTGCATACCCGCTTTTACGATCGCCAAGCACGGTGTTTAAGCTCTGATAACGATATTTAATGAACTTCGGGGTCAATCTCGATCGGTTGTGTTCCCTTTAAACGTGTGTTTAAGAACTTGCCCGTCTGACCAATGCAAACCTTGTTACAGGTGAAGGGGATCTTGTAGATGACCTCTTTCGTGCGTGCGACGTAGGATGCAATGCTTGATTTTGCATGTTATTATCATCTATGCGCGGTATTATCATCCATGAAATTCAACCAGTTCTATACCAGTGGAATTGAAACTGAAGCTCCGATAAGCGCAACTACCAGACGACTAGAATGACGTCACTGTCCACGATGGAGATTGGGCGGGGAGGGGGCTAGTTCTGCGTTTACTAACATACTACTTGCACCATGCATGCTGTAAGCGCGAACTAAACCCGTGCAGCCACGAAGCGAAGTCGATCGGTGATTGGTACAACGACGCTTGCTCATGCTGGAAGCCTCGGAAGAATATGTAGTTGCGCACTTTCAAGTTTCAGTTTCGCTGGGGAAATTGGTCACATTTCATTATTCGATCGCTAATAATGACCAGCGGTTGCTTTTGCGAAATTAGAAAGCGGCCACAGGCTCGTCGCAGAAAGGGCTGCGATTTACCCATTTTGCTCAAATGCCTGTTTCCTCTGATTAAATTAAAATGCACAATTTAACAAAGTTTACTCCATTTCTGTCATAATTAATGCCTCTACTCAGTTTAAGATGCTTGCCGCCACAGAAAGAGTTATGATCGAGCAAAGTGAGGTATTGTGCTAGTTGGTTTTTTATGACTGAAAAAATTGCGCTATACAGTTACTGCAGGGAAAGAAGTTAGGGAGAAGACAATAAATGAAGTGGACAGACAGTACAAGTGCTAACTATCAACTGAAGTTTATTTCGAAGGAACTTGTGAGAAAGAAGGCTTCCAGGAAAGAGAAAAATCGGTTTACGAAGAGGGTGGGGCGTGGCAATCTTGCTCCACTCTCTTCATATGCTACAAGGGGGGGGGGGGTGATTACAATTACCAGATGTGGTGCTGATTCAAAGTTCTTACCCAAGTATGCTGAATAAATTTCTATTTCTGGCTTCTGATGAATTCAATTTCCGGGGGGGGGGGGGGGGTGTATAGTAGTGCAATGGAGCTGGAACTGACGCGTGCGCTTTTTTTGGTCTGATATGTGAAAGGCTTCCCAAATTTTGCGTGTTATCGAGGCAGCGCCGAAATATGCTTTTCACGATTTTCAGACATATTTCATTGGTCGCATGTACTGTTATTTCACCTACTTTTAAGCGGCGAGATCCGTCGTGAATACCGCATACCGTGCACGCAAACTACCGTACATGTTGGTGGAAAGCATTCCGCGGCGGCGTCCCGCTTATGTGGCTGCTCCATCGCCAACTATGAACTCATATTTTACTCCTGTGCGGCACACTTGCGCCCTGCCCCTTGGCACCTCAGAAGTCCGCAGCAGTGAGTGGGAGGCTGCTTTGTCCAGCACCAGGCCGGACCTGCAACTTCGGCTGGTGACTCGGGCGGAGGACGTCGCGGCTATAGGCACGGCCTGAACGCCACCACCGGCAGCGCTGCGTTTTAAAATTTTAAATTATTATTTTACTGTTTGGTCTTCGAAGGAATAAAGTTTTCCACCACCACCCGCTCGTCGGCGTTTCCGCGCGTGACGGGAGTGGGCTGTTACGAGTATAGGTGCGGTAGTCTCGTGACGCTGGTGGAGTTCTAAAAGTGCGCTCGAGGCTCTTTTCCGCCTCTCGACCGACGGAGAGGGGTGATGCGCGGAAGGGGAGCAGAATCGGCCCATAGACTGTCGCGCCGCCAAGTAGAATTCAGGAGCGTCTTCTCAGGGATGGCCGGTAGGCAGACGCTGCCGTGGTTAGCCGTGGTAGCCTGAGCGTTAACACATTAGCAATAAGAAATGAACACTACCACGTTTTCTGCATCAGGGAAACAAACATGTCCTTCCGTGACACGATAAGTCTGATTCGTTTTTTGCGAGACACGAAGGTTTCGTGAAAATGCGTGGCAACTCGCACTTTTGAACATAGCCCACAGAGCACACATATCAGCTTCGCGAGTTTTACTGTAGCCACGTAGTTCAACGCTAGTTACACGTAGTTAAACGCTAACTTCTGACCTTTTCAGTTGAAACTCATTCAGCTTGTTTTACTTGCATATAGCATTCATCGGTGCTTTTGTAGTGCATAAACGACATAAACAAAGTCACAGCTTTGCCGAAAAGGCGAAGCAATGAACGCGATAGCAGTAAATTGGAAGGCCACGTGAAGAATGGCAAGCAGATGAAAACGTGCCCCGCGTTTCTCACGCACAAATGACGCACGAAACGTACTCACAGATGCAGATGAACGCGAGTGAGCATCTCAGTCGCTACTTCGCTGTGTCTGAAAAGCGCGCGCTTTTCGCAATCGGAGACTGTGCAATGAATGCAGTGACCATTGTGCGATCGGTAACTACAACAGGCATCGTTCCGGTTAAAGCTCAAAGCGCACGATTGTCCCCATTGCGAGATAAGCGAATGCACGCGAGAGCGTCCCCTCTCCGCGGGGCAATCTATTCGCGTGGGAGATGATAGCGCGCACCGCCGCGTCATGACGATATGGCGACGCGCGCTCATCGCCCTATCTCGCCGGTAATGCTGAAAACGTAATAGCAGTTCCCCCGAGATGCCCGTCGCCAGCGGTAGTAGTATATAAATAGCTTGCCGTTTGAACGGCGAAGAAGGCGTCTTTTCGTGGCTCAGTGGCTAACGCCTCGATCTCACAATTAAAAGGTCGGAGGTTTGATTCCGCTTGCCGCGATCTTTTTCTGGATTATTTTTCTTTCTTGCGTTTTCATATATATATATATATATATATATATATATATATATATATATATATATATATATATATATATATATAGATACACGTGTACATAGCACAGTGAATAACGGCGACGTCCACATCGACGCAGACGCTGGCGACAAAATACAGCCGAGAGTGTCCATATAATTGCTATTGTAATAATACTGTACTCGGGAAGTCGCGCTAGCTGCGTGGCCTTGTGATTTGCTATCTCAAACTGGCCAGTTCTGCGCAGGTAATTTTTGTACATTCGCTGATAGATGGCAGCACATTACAAAATATGTACTTGTTGACGGGCTTCAGAACGAAGGTGGGGAAATGTTCTCCGCGCCCAGATAAACGTGGTGACAAGGTGTCGGTGTTGTCGAAGTCGTTCGGTGGAGAGAATTTCTCAGATTGTTTTCAGTATTGATGTTGAACGAAACCATCTTGACGACGAGGATTTTTCACTGGACGTAGAAGGCTGTGAACGCATTGTGAGTGACAGCGACGATCTGATAACTCATGATCAAGGAGTTGGACTTATGTATAAATGATTTTTCATGCTCGTAAGTAACTTTGAATGTGTGACATCATTTCAGTGGGGTCAAAATAAAAGCATAGTTTTCCTTGCGCATTGCATGTACTGCTGTGGATATTTTGGACCGCCGCCTGCCGCCGACACACTCGAGCTCGACTAGCGAAGCGAAATTGGGAGAGTGATGAAATGTGCAGTTACGGAGACAATCCACGCATCTCGTGCTAACTTATCCTGTACTACCGGAAGCTGTCAAATCGCGTTGTTCGATGAATTTCGCAATTTCGAAGTTTCAAAAAGCTTACATGGGTTCTTTCCGATATTCATATTTCGATCGTAACCTGCAACATTTGAGTCCAGTGAATGGCGCATGGCTAGAGCCTGATCATGGGTGTGACACAAGCGAAAACGCTTGTGTTCTGTTGAATAAGCAACTTCATGTTCCTGATAGCGCAAGTAATGATGACGGTATAATATGTTTGCAAATCATCACCACGTAACATTCGGTCCCGTGCAGCACCTATGACGCTATACTCGCTAACAGCCTATTACTGCGGTATATCTGTCGGGCAGGCTTGGTACATACGATCTCGGAGTTCCGTTCACCTCGTAGTGCCCTTCAGTTCATACGTATAGTAAAGTTAGTGCAGTTTTCTGTAGCACGCAGAGGATTTAGCAAAGCGTCGTTTAAGCATGGTAATGGAGCTATAATATAACCTTTCACACCGCGGCAAATACCCAGGTGGCGACCTTCCACGGTTTCGGAAAGTATCTTGGTCTCATATACACTTCAGTGCAGCTCATTACTTTATTCGGTGAAAGTGACACGGTCTCTATACGTCATGTCATGCCAACAAACGGGTTGACCCTCCTCCAGGTGCCATCTTGAATTGTGCAGCGTGCCACCTAGAGTTCATTGCAATGCGACATGCCCGTTTGGGCAGGAAAAACAGCAGTGGATTGGTGGTTTGCTTGCGCGGCAGCGGCGAAAATAGCGCAGGGAGAGATTCTGTCGGCAGGAGAGAAATCTTGACGCTCTCCCCGCGGGGAAAAAAAAGTGAAGGGTGGCATGCGCGAAAGAGCCACGCCGCTATTGTGTTCGTACCTCAAGGCGCTTGGTGCGTGGAGATGCGTTGAACTTTCTGCCGGCGTATCTCTCGCTGGTGAACTAGTACCATCTGGCGGGGATTCTTGTAAATGTGCACCAGGCTGCTGGATGTTACACAGTCTCATTGGAGCCCAGCATTTTATTGCGATAGCAATGATATGGACACTCTCGGCTGGATTTATATATATATATATATATATGAAAGTGCAAGAAAGAAAAAAATAATCCATAAAAGACTACGGCGCGCAGGCGTTAGGGTGCGTGCACACTTGCGGAAAGCATGCCGCGGCGGCGTCCCGCCCGTCGGTGCCTCCTCTCGGCAGCCAGCGGCACGCTGGCGGCGCCGCAGGAAAAGCGAGACAAGGATGGACATGTCGAGGCGCGCGCCCCAATCTTCTAGCTTCCGGCTCGCGGCTTGTCTTCTCCGCGACTGGTGAAGAGAGAAAATGGCATGGGTGAGGAGTTGGCGCTTATGTGAGGATGAAGCGAGGAAAAGAGCAGGTGCTCAGTGGTGGTTTGCTTGCGCGGGAGCCGGCCGCAGCGGCAAAAATATCCCAGTAAGTGATTCCGTCGGTGGCAGAAATTCCGCGACGCTCTGCGGGAGAAAAGGGTTTTGAAAAACGACGTCTCGCAAGTGGTCAACGGCGCGCGGCAGAGTGCCGCGCCGCCAGTGTGTGCGTACCCTTAGCCACTGAGCCATGAAGGGGCACCTCCTTCACCCTTCAAACGGCAAGCTATTTATACCTACCACTTACCACAGCAGACGGTCATCTTGGGGGGGGGGGGGGGGGGCTATCGTGTTTTCAGCATTAACAGCGAGATGGCGCAATGAGCGCGCATCGCCAGATTGTCACAACGCAGCGGCGCGCGCTCTCATCTCCCACGCTTACTTCTCCCCGCGGAGAGAGGGCAGGGTGGACACTCGCGCTTGCTTGCATGCTTCTGTCGCGGTGGGAACAATCGTACACCTTGGCTTTCACCGGAACGATTCTGTTGTAGTTACCGGGTGCACAAAGGTCACTGCACTCGTTGCACAATCTCCGTTTGCGAAAAGGGCGTGCTTTTCAGACACAGTGAAGTAACAACTGAGACGCTTATTCGCGTTCATCTGTACCTTTAAATACCTTTCGTGCGTCATTTGTGCGTGAGAAACGTGGCGCACGTTTAGATCTGCTTGCCATTCTGCGCGTGACCTTCCCATTTGTTCCTATCACGTTCATTGCTTCGCCTTTGCAGCAAAGCTGTGACTTTTTCTAATACACTGTCACGCCAGTGCCTCCATTGGAGCCCCAGCATGAAAACTTCTCGTGTTAGGAAGTGCATTTACTGTCTTAATAATTCAGTGCAGAAGCTTACAGCAGTCAAATCAGACCGACAAGCTATACAATGAGAAACGTATACAGAATAATTCTGGTATTGTTGTGGTCACATTTACTAAGCTTGTCGAAGATTCATTTCAGTGGTATTTACATCTGTAAAATATTTCTTGAATGCAGCCGCTGGGCTGCTAAGGTAATATGCAGCCTATTCATTGCTGGAGTGGTGGGTTAATACTCCTAATGGACCCCTGACAGCAAAAGTTTTGTTAGCGATTTTTTTGCAGCAATTGCTAGCTTTGTGTCGGGTAATACTCAAACTGAATTGTAAATGCTATGCATCATACGATTAATGCTAGCATCATTAATTCAGAATGATTTTGCGTCAGTCTGAAACGCTTACCTATACCATCAGAAACTAGCGCTCTTCAGCGGGGCAGTGCCTGAGACTATGTGCACTCAGTGACGTTGAAATCACCATTTTCAAATTGTGGGACCCACGGGTAGTGAAGAATGAAAACGATGTGGGTGCTTTGAGTGTGTCCCTGTCAGAAAAAAGAAAAGCATTCCTGGCGTAAGCAGCCAAAACCACCTTGAGAGCATCCCGACAATTGAGTGAATGAGGTGACAAACATTACTCCTTGCGGAGTGTCAGTTGGGGCATTGTGCGCGGCCCACAAATGTTCTCTGATGCCGACAATACCTACTTGACCTCTGCAAGTATGACGAGGGGGTCCCCTGTCAACCTCAATCCACAGAAAATGTCGATTGGACCTGAATACACGATGAGCACGCACCCCTACTTTAAAACCAAAATAAAATATCTGACGGGCTATGCTCGCCAATAATAATTAGTCAGAAGTGTCACCGCATGCAAGACTATTAAAAAACACCGGCATTTCGAGTTTCCGAATTTCGTGTCGTGATTCCTTTCAGGAAGTAGCGTGAAAAACAAAGACACAAGACTCGTCTTGTGTCACTGTTTCTTGCTTGTTTTTTTATGAGACCTTTCCAAGAATGCAATTTTACAATCTCGCCCAGACTGCAGTATTCTTAAGCGCTTTCATTTGCCTGCTTTATAAATGGCACTGTAGAGGTGGGGTACACTGAAGTTTTATTAATCATTCCAGCCCGGAAATCTGGCATCAAAGAAAAGAAAAAGGTTGGAGATTGTAGTCCTGTCTGCTGTAATCTCTTGTAGACATTTTGCTGATCATAGAGCAGGTATTTATGCACTATGTGTTTCTTGGGTGCAGCAACACGCAGCGCTGATTGGAGGAGCAGCGTCGCAGTCTTGCCCGATCTGCCACAAGATCTGCGTCAACGCTGAAGCCCTAATGGAGCACATGCGTATCTCACACAAGGATCCACCAGCCACAGCACCCGGTATGATTAGCTAAAATTACTGCACTCATAAGTATGTCCTCAGTCTAATATTTTAGAAGTGCGTTATTATATTTTCACTTTCACTCTCTTGCTCAATTTTCACTTGACACCAAACTATATTTTAAATGTGCAACAGTATTATGATAATAAATCAGTCCAGTGTTATAAGTTACTCTTTGAGAACTCTATTGCCATTAGTGTCATTATTGCACATTCATTACTGCAAGGAAAATAAAATCAAAGTTCAATCTTGAACATTTAACTGCAGAAGCAAAGTGTGGGAGCGGGCTAGCTAGTATTTCATATTCTTTACAGCTGAAGCACAAAAAAGGTAGACAATGCACGAAGGGGACAATGAGGACAAGCGCTAACTTTCAACTAAAACTGTTATTGCAAAGCACCAAGAATATATACCTGTCACATGATGTCACAATCACATCAATCAGTGCACCGAGTTAAAGACAAAATAAAACATAGCAGCAGGGAGTTTTACGTTTAAAAACCACGTGCCAGTGAATTCAAGTAACCTAGTCCTTTTTTACTTGAACATAACCAGAAAGTAAAAAAGGGCTCTGGTGGTTCCCTGGCAACTCATTGCGCAGAATTCAATTGCCTGCTGGTATTTGATAAAACAACTGTGCAGGGGCTGTTCACCCTAATGACAGTACTAGGCTCCATTTTTTTGGAAGCGACGATAGAAAATCGAAGCTGCATCAGCAAGCCGCTGATCGCACTAACAAAAAAAGAACTAGATTACTTCAATTCACTGGAACGTGGTTTTTCTACACAAAACTCCCTGCTGCTTAGTTTTATTTTGTCTTCACCTTGCTGGATTGATTGATGTGATTGTGTTCTCATGTGACAGGTATATATTCTTGGTGCTTTGCAATAAATTTTTAAGTTGGAAGTTAGCGCTTGTTCTCGTTTCTCTCTATCCGTTGTGTACCTTTTTTTGCAGTTCAGCTGCAAAGAATCACTGTAGAAGTTCAGTGGCAGTACACCATTGTGAGCTTCAGGTATTTGACAGCATGTTTTCATATTATAGCCATGCTGGTACGGTCGAAGTTCCCAACGCCTGCATGTTCAATTTTGGGTCCCTGAGAGTGCAATGTAATAATATGTTTCACTGATAAAAAAAATTGATATAGGCCCTGGCAGACACTGGCCCAGTCAGAGACATCATAGCGAGCAGTTGTGGGAACATCAGGGCAATGTCATAACTTGTTTCCTTTTCATTTAAAGTATAATAAATAGTCCTACTGTGGCAAGAGTGGTGTTTTTGTATTGTGAAAGGGTAATCAACTGATTCGAATAAAATATTTCTTCACTTCAGTATATCTAACATTGTACTAGCTCTATGTTCCCTCTGTATTTTCACAATTTAACTGTGTTCACTGTGCTCACATTAGGGTGAGAAAGATTATTGCATTACTGCCAAAACATTGCAACCGACCCATGTGTTATGCAGTGTTAATACCTCAATATCAAGTGAACATTACTTTTGAAATTCCGGAACTTTCCTTGAAATAGGTGAACATACTGTTGCATTGAGAAAAGGGAGCAATACATCTGGAACAATACTACGTGGATCCAAACAGGAGGCATGGTTGCTCTGCATAACAATCCTCCTGAAGCCATTAATGTAACCAAAGAACATTGATGTACACTTTGCCATTCATTGCATGTTCTTGATATTTCACATAGTAGTACTATGGTGTAAACATAAGTAATATTGCCATTGCTGAACATCGGAGTCCTTGAAACTTCACAATTTTTTTCCACATGTCTGCTAAGAAGCGTGCATGTGCATGTGTAGAATATAGAACAGCTGCTTCTTCAGCAAATTTTCCTTCATATTTGCATAATTTACAGGAGTTGGCAAGTACACTGAACCACCCTGATGTGTTTCTTGACCTGCAAATAAAGAAAACCAGTCACTTGTGAGCATATTTTAAGTTTGTGTCACAGTCAGGAGCATAGCCAGAAATTTTATGCATGCCAACCAACCTGTAATAGATGGGGGTCGGCCAACCTATTATGGTTGTTGGTATGTGTTCGTATACGTGCATGTATATATGCTCATGCAAAATTGAAAAAATATGATTGCGTGGTTTAAGCCCCCCACTCCCCTAACTCTCTGACCTTGCCCTCTGTATGGCCACTGTGCTTTATTCTTAACCAGAAATGGGCTATTTATGTATTCTGGCATTCTTTTTCTCTAGGCACAACGTGGACCAGTGGAGACACTTCAGGCGGCACTCAGTCTTCAGAAGACCAAGGTAAGCATATTTATTTGTTCAAAATGCATTGGCTACAGGAAGGACTGTTACACACATCTCGATAGCTCTGCAAGTAAACTTGTTAGGGTAATACAGCCTACTGCTCGTTATAACGGACCCGGGTACAACTGGACTTTCAGATTACAACAGACCAATATTCAGCCTATGTACGGTCTAGTGTATTAATTAATGAAGCGAAGTTCATTTTTTACGGACTGCGATACAACGGACTAATAGCTACAGTGGACGAAATTATCAGCATTTTTTTTTTCGAAATCGCACGCATATAGCAGACTTTTGTCCGCATTGACACTGGACTGATAACAAATTTTACCACGCTGCTTTCTGCGAGCTAAAACCACAGTAATTTTAAATTGCAGCTGGCAACATTGGTGGCTTTCGGCCAAGTCAGTCTGAGAACACATTGGCGACGTAATGCACGGACGCAGCTAGTTGACGCCATTTTGTCATTGTGTTCCTGTGCTTGACTGTTCTGTCTATTCACACATTTCAAGGTGATGGCCTCCAGAAAGCGGAAGCAAATTTTGCTGAATGACAAGCTCAAGATAGTGAACGCAGTTGCACGGTGAGAAACAGGCGGACATTGCAAAAACAATGGGACTGTCCAAGCAGACCGTGAGTTCAATTGTAAATATTAAGAGTATTGCTGGCAAATGCGGGGGAAGTTAGTCCCAAGCGCTTCAGGCTCTGCTAGGCGACGTAGCCGGACGTTGAGTCCGCACTACTCGTGTGGTTGCGTGATGCCCGATCTCGCAACATTCCAATGTGAACGAATTCTTACTGAGGAAGCGAGCTGAACAGCTAGCTGTGGTCTTTGGACACGACAGCGTCACTTTCAGCAACAGATGGCTGGAGTGCTTCAAGACAAGGTGTGGCGTCACATTCATGCAAGTTTGCGGTGAACGCAACAGCATGAGGGTCGATGCCGTCACCGAATGGCAAACCAACGAGCTACCAGCGCTTCTTGCCAGATACAGTGAGAAGGACGTATTCAATGCAGATGAAAGTGATTTATTTTATAAGGCCAAGTCCGAATAGGACCTACACGGTCTCCGACAGTCACTTTCACTGGTGGTAAGCGCTCCAAAGGAGCGTTTGTCCGTGTTATTTTGTTGTAACATGACCGGCATCGAGAAGAGAAAACTGTTGGTGATTAGGAAAGACAAGCAGCCTCGCGCCTCGTGGCACGTAAAGAACATGCCAGTTGAGTGGAGTGATAATACATAGGCATGGATGACGAATGACATCTTCAATGCCTGGCTATTGCAGTTCGACCAGGAGATGATAAAGCAGAAGAAGAAGGGGCTACTCTTTCTACACAACTGCTCTATCCACATGAAGCCACCCAGATGGAAGCAATTGAGCTGGCTTACTTTCCACCAAATGCGACCTTGGTAGTGCAGCTGATTGACCAAGGAGTCATAGCATTCCGTAAAAACTGCCTACCGTACTCGCCTTGTTGGAACGCCTGTTCTTTGACATGCAGAATAATAGAGCATCGAATATAGACGTTGGATTTTCTGTGGAAGTGTTGGCGAGTGTTTGGCAGCAATTCAGAGCTACTGTAATTAAAAATTGCTTCAGGAAGGCTGGTTTTCTACAACATGATGGCAGCGCCCACGACAGTGCAGATGAAGAGTCGTCTGTCGCAGATGAAACATCATGCCCATTGGTGTGGCCTCAAGTCAGGGAGGCATTCGGGGCAGACAGCTTCTCTGACTTCGTCACACTTGACAACGGCGTCGTCGACGATGAGGAGCTGACTAACGAGGAGGTGAGAGCGACGATCGAATCCCGTTGTGAGCTGTCATCATACGACAACGAGCAAGAAGACGAGTTTCCCTGCAGTAAAGCTGACCTCACAGCAGGTGATTGACCGCAATGATGAATTGAAGGCATGCTTCTAGCTGCAGCAAGACGACCGCGGTGTTGCTAGGTTGCAGCTGAGTGAAATGCAGCGCAAAATGATAACATCATCGCTCAAGAGTGCTCGTCAATCGTTGATCGCTAATTTTTTTTCAAACTAGTTGTAAATATAAAGTTTTGTTTGTGTTTTGCATTAGGTGTTCGTCGCTCATTGCAGTAACGCTGTTAGGCATCGCTACCATGGCTTGAAAGCAAGATATTTCAGTGCTCCGAGCAGGTGAGTATCGCTGTCAAATCGCAATCAGCGGCCCTACTTCAGCAGATATGTCTTCGCGTCCGCACAAAAGAGAATTATTTCGAAGCCGGTCAACAGGAACTGATGAAAAAGCGTTTTATTCGTGGACTAAGCTTTGCTGCTGTGCAGAAGCCACATGGTGCCCCTGCATATACTGTAACGGCACTGCGCTGCAATTTTAATAGCTGCTGCTAGTAATTGAAGTCTTGTTTAACCATGCCACAAGGTATGGATATAACGAACTTAGGATAGAACGAACTTATTTTGCCGGATTATCATGGTCCTGTTGTGACGAGAGTAGACTGTACTCTGGTTCTCAAGTGTGGGTCTGTGAGGTCGTTCTTTGTGGGTACGCAAAGTGCATATGTGGCACACTATGTTGTGAGACAGTGACGGCTTCTGTTTTAATAAGACAGATGCTTGGGCTAGTTTGTGATTGATAATCAACATATTTGCACAGTGGAACACTACAAACAGCGCTCTTTCTGTTTTGTTATGCTTTAGCAGATAACTCGTTTGCATCGCAGTGGAAGTGACTTATGTTTCTCCTTCATGAGACTTTCTAAGGCACGTTGCTGGGGTAGTTGGCTGGGGTTCATCATCAGTGTATATGTGTCTCTCTTTTTGTGTCCTTGTCGTGGTGCACTATACCCAAATGAATTAACGAGAAGGCTCTAACTTTTTGTTGCAGTTTTCTACGACATGTCACATATGCATCGAGCAAGCTTTTTTCCAGGTTTACACATGTGAAAAGCAAACGTAGCCAGAAACGGGTTGAATGTGGCTGCAGACCACACAACTTACCGTATTTACTTGAATGTAACGCGACCACGATTGTAACGCGAGGGGTGACTTTTCAGTGCCGAAAAAAAAAAAAGAACACGAATGTAACGCGAGTAAAGCGGGGGAAAAAAGTACCTTTATTTGCTGCACATGGTAGTGGCAAAGACATCCCAGTTTCTAAATATAAAGTGAGTTTTGTTCATTCGTCGCTTTCATCGCCAGTGGTCGAGCCCTTTTTGTCACTTTCTTCCTCCCAGATGAGGTCATCCTCCGTGCCATCCATATAGTTCGATGTACAGCACTTTTTAAACGCGCGAACTATCATGTCGTGTGGCAGCCCGTACCAAGCGGCGGACACCCACTCGGCAATCTTCGCGGGACTAGGTCGCTTTATCCTACCCGTAGGTGTCAAAGCCCGATCTTCTCGCATCCATTCTCCGTACAGCTGCCGCATTCTATCCTTAAATGGTTTGTTCAGGCAGACGTCTAATGGCTGCAGCACGGACGTCATACCTCCTGGAATAACAGCGAGCTGCGTCTGAGTTTCCCACATTAGCTTCTTCACTTTGGGCGTCAGGTGACCGCGAAATGAGTCGAGAACTTGGATGGAGGCGAGGTGGAGGAGCGCACCTGGCCGCAGGCACCACACAGTCTTGACCCAGTCAAGCATAAGCGGAGTGTCCATCCAACCTTTTTCTTGGCAGCGAACAATCACATCCCTGGGGAACAGCTCCTTCGGGATGGTTTTGCGCCGGAAATTGATGTATGGCGGCAACTTGCGCCCATCCGCCAAGCAGACTAGCATCACAGTTAGCCGCGTCTTCTCGTTGCCTGTTGTCCTTATGCGAACTTGGGGGGCACCTGTTTCGCTGACAGTCCTTGACATAGGCATGTCCAAGAAAACGGGAGTCTGGTTCGCGTTGCCAATGTGCCCCAACGGCATTTGCGACGAGCGGCATAGGTCGAGCACATAGCGCTGAAACTCCACTAGCTTCGCTTAGCAATCTGCTGGTAGCTTCTGCCTTATCGACGTTGTTCGCCGGAGGGAAAATTCATTTCTTTGCATGAACTTTTGTGCCCATCCACGTGAAGCCTTAAAGTTCTCCTGCGGGATCCCCATCTCTCGAGCTACGTCTCGGGCTTTCCACTGAATCAGCTCAACGTTGACCCCCAATAGGCGATTTCGCTGCTCAATCACAAACTCCGCCACTTTTTTTTCGAGTTCTGTGTGACGGCCACAACGAGGTCCACGGAAGCCTTTTCGGCCGGGCTCACTCTTGAAGAGCGCTTCACGCTGGAGCCTCCACCCACGGATAGTAGATTCCGCCACATCTAGCCGTCGAGCCGCGGCTGAGTTCCCGATTTCCTCAGCCATCAGTATCGCACTTCTCTTAAAGCGGGCATCTCACTGAACTCGTCGCGCTGCCATTTGCTCGAGCCGAAGTCGCGGAAGCACAAAGGAAATGAACCGCCCGCAAAACACGTCGCGAACGATAGGATTGGATTCGATTCGATGTTGCCAGCGTGCATATGTTGCCAGCACAAGGTTGAAAGATCGCTAGGTTTGTCGTAGTCATTTTAAGGAACCAGTGGGGCGGCACCGCCAAGGCACGATTTGAGGTGCTTCGGTTATAATGCGGACCCCCAAATCACTTCAGAGAGATTTTGAAAAAAACTCGCATTACATTCGAGTAAATACGGTATTGAGAAGTTGTTGAGATGGAATTGACATGCCTCCTTTGTAACCATTCTTTGCCAGGAACAATTAAAAGGCACCCGTTTTACACTGTATGTTGTTTTAGTAGTTTAGTAGTAGTTTAGTAGTAGCTTTAGTAGTAGACGAGCATAGTGGGCATAATCTGAAATATTTCAGCCAATTACAGGGGCAAACGACAAACCAGAATTAAGGAAATAACGAAACAGTTCTACATTATACCATCGCAGAAGAAGCAATTCTCTTGGGAGCAACGATTACAATCTTGTGCGTCGCATGAAGTGTTGACGAGAATGGTATATTGTTGCATGTAATTCATCAAGAGGTGAAAACGGAGTTGCTTGCACATTAGGAAGGCAATCATGGCAACTATGGTCACAAGAGCCTCAAAATCGACTATGTTTTTCCTCTTTGTGGCTACAGGCAAGCAGCAGCAACCGCAACAACAGCAGCAGCAGCAACAGCAACAACAACAACAGCAGCAACAGCAGCAGCAGCGGCGTGTAGGCCAGCCACAGCAAACCCACTCATGCCCTGTGTGTGGCAAGGCTTACGTGAATGAAGGCTCACTGCGCAAGCATGTGAGCACCCACCCAGAGGCAGCCTCCCTGGGTTCCCCGCTGCGAATGTGGCCCTGCACTGTCTGCCATAGCGTCTTCACCCATGAGACAGGTACGAACAAAAGTCCTATTTATTTACAACTTCTGCATACCCAAGCAGAATGGGCAACAAACAATACCAATTTGTTCAAGAGCACTTGAACAACAGTGTTATGGCTCATAATCAGTGAATTAGATGCTAGTATACGGCAGAAATCTACAAATAATTCACCTAGGCACTGCCAACTTATGCCATATAGATATGTACATTATACAAAACTAAACTAAACAAAGAAATGTTCACATTGTTTTTCAATATGACAGATATGTACATCATACAAAACTAAACTAAAAAATTTTCACATTGTTTTTCAATATCCTCAGACTGAAAAATACACTTGTGGTACAGAGTTCCAGTCAGCAGTAATCTTGTGAAAAAAGCTGTTTTTAATCCTCTGAGTGTCGAATTTCTCCCAGAAAACTTTCACAGGTGGTCAAGTTACTTTATTGTGGTTTTTTAATGCACGAAATGTTCAATGTCAGGACAAATTAAAAAAAAATGCAGGAACAATGATTTAGTGTCACTATCTTTGGGAATTACATAGTAATATTCAACAGTATTTCTGAGCATCGTATTGCTTGAAACACGAGGGTCTGCACACAGTGCCGTATCGCAGTCTGCACCCATAACACATGTCTGTTCTTCTCCTGCATTGACGAGTTGTGTTATTATTTATTTATTTATTTAGAGATATTGTCAACCCTCTATGGTGGGTCATTACAGGAAAGGTACGACACACATGCTGTACAATAAAAGTAGTCACATATCGATACATTTTCACAATGATAACTCAGGTGTACCTATATACAAATTCATGAAAGCTCTGCATTCCAGACGAAAAATGAAACACACACATCCTAATTCGGAATGCAACAGATAACAATTGCAACAATCTTTACAATAAATCATATAAATATAAATCAAGTAAGTGCACCAATTCATTAACATCACCCGCATTGGCTATGTTACTCGGTAACCCATTCCAATCTTCGATGACATCAGGGAAGAAAGTAAAACGGTATGCCTGTCCAGTATATGCGTTATTATGAAATAATTTGCTATGTCGTTCCTTGTGTTCACCATGAGTGTGTAAAACACTCACCCCAAACAATCTTTATGCCACTTATTGCTCAACTATGTCCTCTGCTTGGACCTAAGGGTCTGCAGTATGTAATAAATAAATAAATAAATAAATAAATAAATAGATAAATAAATAAGTAAATCCACGGAATCTCGGCATTCCAAACAAGAAAAGAAAAACACACACACTGATTCGCAATGCAACATATAACAATCACAATAATTTTTACAACAAGTAACATAAATGTAAATCAAATAAATGCAAAAATTCATTAACATAATTCGCATTGACTCTATTCAACGGTAACCCATTCCAATCTTTGATGACATCAGGGAAGGAAGCATAAGGGTATGCCTTCATTCACGCAAAATAAAATTGCAGTACTCGCGTGTGATTTGCCCTCTCGCTTCGTTTCCGAGGTTGTTGTACGTAGTCATTTCTGTTAATTTTAAACTCACCTTCCAACAATTGAAAGAGATACCTTAATCCATTTTTACGTCTGCGCTTGTGTAGTGTCTCCAGATCACAGAGTCGTAGCATTTCTGTGACTGAGTCGTGCTGCTTATATCTCGAGCATATAAAGCGAGCGGCAAGCCGTTGTATGCATTCAAGTTTTTTGCCAGCACTTTTTATGGGGACTCCAGACAATACTGGCGTATTCCAGCATCGGCTATGTAAAAGTTTTAAAAGCAAGAAGTTTTACGTTCATACTTGCACCCTGCAGTTTTTTCTTATCAAGTACAACTTCTGTGAAGACCTAGAGTAAACATTATCAATATGTGTGTGCCACTTCAGGTTATACGTTATTGTGAGACCTAGGTACTTTAATGCATTAACTGTCAACAAGGTCTGATTCCTGATACAGTATTCAAATGGAATTATAGTTTTTTTTTTTCCCTAGAATTGTGGGTAACAGTAGATTTTAAATAATTGATTTCCATTCCCGAAGCTTCGCACCTTGAGTGTGATTCCTTCAGACATTCGGCAATACTCAACTGGTCCTTCCTATAAGTCACTCGCGTGTAAATTAAACAATCATCAGCAAACAGTTTAAGCTTTACATGAGGTTTTGCTATATCTGCAATATCGTTGACATATATCAGAAACAATAATGTCCCGAAAACCGAGCCTTGTGGAACTCCAGAAAACATTTTCATAGAGCTAGATATGGAGTTTTAAAATTTCACGAATTGCTTCCTGTCATTTAGGTATGCTTTAATCCGATCAAGTAGAAGTTGACTGAGTCCAGCACAGTGAAGCTTATACAGTAATCTTTCGTGAGGTACCTTATCGAAGGCCCTAGCGAAATGCAGAAGACATCAATTTGTTCATTCATATTTGAAGCTGTTGCAATGTCATGGATAGTTTCAATAAGCTGGGTTGTCGTCGAAACTTCACTCCTAAAGCCATGCTGATAAGGATAAAAGTAATTTTTATATTCCAGGAATGTGACAACATGCTTGACAATGATATGTTCTAATATTTTGCAGTAGATAGATGTGAGCGACATGTGAAGGTAATTATTGGCGGACAACCGATCACCCTTAAACACAGGGGCAACTACAGCTGTGCGCCAGTCAGATGGCACTAAACTAGTACAAATAGACTTTTGAAAAATAACTTCCAAGTAGTAAGATATCCGCTCCGCATAACGCTGCAAAAAAAGAGTGGGTATTTCATCTGGCCCGCATGCTTTTTTAGTATCAAGGGACAATAGACTCTTCAATACTCCTTCTCAACTGATAGTAATATCACCCATCGGCTCAGATAAGTGGCATATAACATCCTCTGTTTCAGTGTCACATCCGCGTCTTGTAAAAACTGACTGAAACAAATGTTCAGACTATTTGCAATATCAACATTCTGCATATGGCAGTAATAATGCATGGTGCAAGCTTCCACTGCCAATGGCCGTGAGAATATACGAATATCATAATGGCTCCGCGGTTGAAAGCCGGTACCCCACTACAAGAAGCGCACATGCTCTTGTGCGTATTCTTGTATAGTGCATAGCAAATTCGAAAAGGTTTCATGCACTGAGTGTTTGAAATGTGCACTATAAACAGGATGTCGCTATTGCATTCAACTCCTAAAGGCGCAGCTTTAGGGTCCCTTAATTTTTTGTAAGTCCTAAAAAGTGGCAGCCCCTCCTAGTGAACAAACATCATCATTATGGCACGAAATTTTAAGTGGAACTTAAACGTACCCAAGAAACCTTTGCAAAAACTCATCAAGGACAATGTCATCTTTGTTTGGGGTTCTGCTCAATCAGATACTTTCCATTAGCATCAACTATGCCAACAAGACCCACCTATCCTTGGTCGTGTAGACAGAGCAGCAGACAGTAAAGTGGGTATTGATGCTAGCAACATTGATTTAAGTCATTCTCATACAATTTCAAGCTAGTGTTGAATGCATTAATGCCTTTACTAGTCACGCATTGTCGTTTGCTGAGAAAAACTGCTCAACAACTGAAAAAGAATGTCTGGTATTACGATGTTCTGGCCATACTTCTACGGACACCCCATTTGAATTATGAGTGACGACCACTGTTTGCTGGCTGGCATATTTCAAGGATCCTTTGAATAGTCTTGCAAGATGGAGCCTTCATTTGCAGGAATTCAATGCAGCTGTAGTATGTTAGTCTGGCTAGAAACACTCAGATGCCTATTGTCATTCTTTCGCCCCGTCGACACCTTTCTAAAAGACAGCGACAAAGGCTGCAGTACTCTATTCAAGCTTTTTAAATGTAGCTCAACAGCAGAGCGAGGACTCACACCTGCATCTACCAATTGAATACATTGAAACACATCTCCCGCAATCCCCTGACAATTTGCACATAATTTGTGATTTTTTCAATCTAAACTACAACATCTTCTACAAGCGCAACTCATCGCATGGAAACTGTTTACCTCCTAGGTTCCTTCTTCTCTTCATGACAACAATTAATGTGCATGCCACCACGAACCACTGTCAGGGCGTTTCGGTTTCACGTGTACTTTGGCGAGCGTCAAACAAAAATACTACTGGCAGGAAACTTACAAAAGCTGTGAGGTAGTAGTGTGTTGAAACTTGCACCGATTGCCAACGGCTGCTAAATTCCATGCATGAAATCCAGCCGATCTGCTTCACCCTGTTAGACGCCCTCACACACCTTTTAAACAGGTCAGGATGAACATACTCGGCTGTTTTTCCTAGTCTTCACCTGATAACCGCCAGATCGTTGTTGCCACTGGCGGCTCATCTAGTTATTGTAGAACCCAAGCTGTTCAGTGAGCTATTGCTTTTGATGTGGCAGGATACACAGTCTTCGTCAAAAACATCATTCTTCTCCTTCGTTGTCATTGAAGATCATGATACAGCATTCACAGCACAATTGCTCCAAGATATCCTCGACTGAATGATACCACACACAGCATTGCAGCTGCGTACCACCTGCAGACAGACCATTGGTTTAACCAATTTAATGCCTTAACAAAACAACTGCAAATATTCTTTTGATGCATGTTGTCACCGAGCCCAAAAGCTGGGACTGAATCCACCCATATGTCATATTTTCCTATAACAACAATCTGCAGGAAACCGTTAGGTTGTCATAGCCTGGTTTACGAGTGTGATGTCACCAAGATGCCAGACTTGCCACCGTTGTCTAGTAGGCTAAGGCACTTGGCTGCTGTACCGCAGGTGGCTGGATAGAATCCTGGCCACAATGGCTACATTTTTGATGGGGCAAAATTGCTTGAGGCCCATGTGCTTAGGTTTAGCTGCACGTTGAAGAACACTAGGTGGTCGTCAAAATTTCTGGAGCCTTCCACTACGGTGTCTCTCACAATCCTATGGTGGTTTAATTAAGATGCCAGGCATAATGCTTCTACTACCTCTGATTGAAACGACCACTCGAGGCGCAGATGTTGTTTTTCAGTAGTGGAAAAGCTTGTGTGGCCTACACATTCTTTCTAGACAAAGTCGGGATGCTCGCTGATGCAACTTCCGTCAGTAACCTGTAACATATAAGCCAGGTGACCTAGTCTTGGTTTAGATCATATATAATAACTGAAGCCACTCAAAAAAATTCTTCTGTAAAATAGCTAAAAAAAACTAATGCATACTACTGCTGTTCTAAAATGCTGCTGTGTCATTAATATGGCCCCTACTGTGTTCTGCGTTGCCTTTGCGAAGTCAACTACAAGTCGGAGCAAAGACATCACACCAATCTCGTAGACCACATTCATCTGACGTGGTTCATGTTATGAGGATGAAGCCAGACTACCAATGCTGACCACAAGTTACAAACTTTGTGGTGTGGAGCCATCCATCAGGCCCACTGTCTTTTGTTATTGTCGTTTCTTTTATTTTCTTGTTTAATCCATCACCAACATTTGTGGCTTAGCATTCATTCTTCTTTCAAGCTGCGGTATTGAGAGGATGTCTCATTATGTTTTATGGGGAGAATGTTATTCCACGCTCTATTGACAAGAATTTCATGGCTGCTGTGGCCGAAAGAAAACTGCGATTCTCTCCTAGTTGACCGTTTGTTGTTTCCTCTCATAACAGTATGCTCGAAACGTGTTTTAGAGGCAAGTCTCCTAGTTGAAATTTTGGCCTTGCTGACACTGCTTGCTTAACCATCACAAGTGACCACCTTACTGTGATCCTAGTGTCTCACTTAGCTAAAAAAGCCCACAATCTCACAATTTTTATGTAGGATTGCTACACCACATGGAGCACATGCGCATGGACCCAAAGCACCAGTTTGCGGCCCAGTACTTGCTGAGCCGCGCTGCCGCCGAGCGCAGAGAGAAGCATGGTGGGCCCTCGGCGGGTCCCCCCCATGACATGTTGTCTGCTATCCAGCCACAGCCGCAGGCAGCGGCATTGGCTGCAGTCATGCAGCCACCGCCCTCCTCATTGGCCGTGTTGCAGGCCAGCCACCTGGCACACTCCTGAGGCATGGTGAGCAGACACTGTTCGTCATTATGCAGTGAGACTGAGACAGCGGCAAATGCTTCTATTTGTGTACGCCTTGTATTAAAAGCTTATGGGGCTCCAAAATTTTTAAGAAGACTGTGTTCTAGCAAGCTTTGTCTGAGAACATAGCCATTAATTAAATGGTGCATCCTAATGTTCTTGGAAAGCAGGCCCTTAGCCAGAGAAGGTGCCCTATGGACCCAGGCCTCTTACTTAGAATTTTGGTTGGTAGGAGGTGTTTTATCGGGGACGAACATGAGAATAAGTGTTTTTTAAGGCATTCAACAAGTTGCCCCCCCCCCCCCCCCCCCCCCTAAAAAAATTTCTGTCTACAGGCCTGATTGCAAGTGACAAACACATTTGTGCCTTTACTAAAGTAAATTCTTTAGTCCAATGGTTCTCAATCCGTGGACCCCCTAGGGTCTGCGAAGCCATTTATAAGATACGCGAAACCCTCACCTACACATTTTTTTTAAGCGGGACTGTGCCACGTATTGATGAACTGTCCAAAATGAAGTTATGTGGCATGCTTGTTTGATGTTTTTGGTAGCAATAAAAGGCACCTGTTTCATGCTCCAGTTGTGTTAATTTACCTACGTACCCCCTTGTCGTCATGATTGTACTTGTCGTCATGATTCAGTTAAACCCCTTTAAAGAAGAATCTTGCCGGTACTTAGCTACGGAGCAGAAACCTGGAGACTTGAGGCATCTTGCCAGTACTTAGGTACAGAGCAGAAACCTGGAGACTCTAGGTATCTTGCCGGTACTTAGGTACGGAGCAGAAACCTGGAGACTTACAAAGAGGGTTCGGCTTAAATTGAGGACGATGCAGCGAGCAACTGGAAAGGAAAATGGTAGGTGTAACCTTAAGAGACAAGAAGAGAGTAGAGTGTATTAGGGAACTAATCGGGGTTAAGGATATCATAGTCGAAATCAAGAAGAGGAAATGGGCATGGGCCGGGCATGTAGCGCGTAGACAGGATAACCGCTGGTCATTAGGGTAACTATCTGGATTCCTAAAGAAGGCAAGCGGGTTAAGGGGAGACAGAAGGTTAGGTGGGCAGATGAGATTAAGAAGTTTGTGGGTATAAATTGGCAGCAGCAAGCACAGGACTGAGTTGACTGGCGGAACATAAGAAAGGCCTTTGTCCTGCAGTGGGCAAAGTCAGGATGATGATGATGATGATGACAAGAGGCATGCTCCGAGCAGCAATTCTTCTCTTTTATACGAGATGTCTCTTATAAACAGGGGACCTCGTATGAATTTTCCTATCCCCCTTATTTTACTGCAGGCATACTGGTGTCTCTTATACCCATTTGTCTCTTATATCAGTGTCCCTTATAAAGAGGTTCGACTGTATTTGTATTGTATGAATGCTTTTAAATCAGTGTGTTTGTTGTTATCCTTCTCAGCATTGCGAGGTCTAAAATATTAATGCAGTCAAATTCCTTTGTAACAATATACTCTGCAGCTCCAGGATTCATCGCCTTAATAGTTCCTGTGCACTTTGAAGCCCACACACCAAAAATCTCATAGTATAGTATAGCCAAGATGTGAAGAATCTTTCATAAGATGGGAAATTTTGTTGGAGAGGCATTCTACTGTAATCAACTCTCTAGAATTCACGAACTTTGATATGTATTCGAAACATAGCAAGCCATGTGAAATTACGGGAGTTGTTTTCACTGGTAATACTGCTGTGAAAAAACAAAGACGCACACGAAAGGAGGCACACAGCACCAACCTTCAGCAAAAGGTTTATGTTTTCCAGCAGTATTTATAGCCTTTGACATCGAATGACATGTAAACATTTCATAGAAGAAGAAAAAAAAAACATAAAGTGAGCACTTTGTACTGCAAACTATTTTACTGGGAAAACATTTTCACCTGATACAGTGATAATGACTGTCTTTTTCTGACAAGAGAAGCTCTATTTTCGCTACAGGGGGCTATAAATGCTGCTGGCAAGTTAAAATAAACTTTTTGTGAAAGTTAGCACTGCATGTCATTATCCTGTGTGTCCTTGTTCTCTGCAGTGTCATTACAAAGTGACCATCACGTACCGATAATCCCACATCACTATTATTATCGAGTTAAGTTGATTAGAATCTGAGCTTCAAACGCAATGTAAGTTCAGGGCTACGTAGGAAGACTCTTGTTATTGTCTCATGTGTGCTCCCTTTCCATCCATCACTGCAGGACTTCAAAGGTGAGAGCCGCCAAGATGTTGCCCTCCTCCCCTACCTGTGGGCACAAGTCGCAGCGGCAGACAAGATAGAAGTCCGTGTCTCTAAATGATTTACGCTGAGTGCAGCAACTGCTGGCCGCTTCAAATGGCCTTCATGACTTGGTCAAATGTGATCTCCCACTATCCTTGGGAGACGTGTACTATATTGGTGTCCAGACGGCCCGTGTTCAATAACGGGAGTCTGCAGCACATTTCAATTTAAGCCTCGTGCAACACCCAGTTTTTTTTCTTCTTCCCTGGTTAATTTCAGTGTAACCTAATACTTTTGTGCTTGTTTAGTTTTGCAATTTGCAATGTTGTTGCATATAAAAGGCTGTACCACATGCTATGCTTCCATACTTCCACATCATTGCTGAAGGTGCTGTATTTGGATGAGTGTGCCGCGACCACTGACCTCTGATGTATCAGAAGGTACAACTTCTGAAGCCCGAGTAATAGAAAGCAGATTACTATAAGGTGTCAAGGCGTTGACACGATCTGCTTTCACATAAGGCAACCACGACCATGTCTATGGGCAAGGAAGATGAGTGCAGTGGCTGCCTTTCTGCACTTTGTAATTGCCATCAGTTGGGTTCACTTTCTCAATGCCTTTTGCTTCAGGTGAGCCATGTGACCTAACACACAAGTTAGAGCCTTGCTCTGACTGCTGCATTGCGTGTTGATAATGCATCACATTGTATTCTGGACTTTCGGGGATATCTGCATAGCAAATATTGCAAGATTTAAATATCTCCCTTTCTTCCAATGCTCGGATGTATAACAATACATTCTCTTACATCAGACAGAAAAAAAAGCTATGTAAAAGTGTCTGTTGTTTCAAATTTAGTGCATTGCAGCCTTTAAATACTAGAGTATTGATTTGCATTAAATTAGATACAAAATAGCCGCATCACTTTCATGCAAGTACAACACTTTCCACTTCTGTAAAGTTTATTCTTTATGTGTGTATGTGTGTGTGTGTGTGTGTGTGTGTGTGTGCAGAAGTTATCTGCAACTGCTACATCCAATCCCGAGAAACGGTTAGAGCTGGCACAGCCAAGGTTGAAATTGTCAAGAACCCCTTTCTGGGAATTTCATATTCAGAGTTGTTGGTTTCCCTTTTGTTGTATTTGAATCGGCTAGGATGCTGTTTCATTTAACAGCCACTGATGTCCCACTGTGTTTCACAGATGGTGAAAGCGAAAGTGTGGCTTCATCGTTTCTAGTATGCGTTTCTAGTATGCAGTTTCTAGTTTGAACAGGGTTCGTACAGGTCCTTGAAATCCTTGAAAACCCTTGAATTTTAAAAAACGCATATTCAAGGCCCTTAAAAGTCCTGGAATTTCTTGGCATCCTTGAAAATTCTTGAATATCCTGAGCATTACACTCTCACATCGACATCGCGACCTCTTGAATATGGTAGATCGGTGTGTCAACCTGTCAAACTCCCCATTTCTGAAGCATTAATGCAGCGTGAGTGCACATGATCTCATTTCGCAAAAGTGCTTGTGAAAAAAAAGTTAGTTTGTGGCGAGGGTGAAGCAGTGAGTGTGATATCAAGAAATTAGAATGTCACAGGAGGAAGGGCAAGCAACTCTATATATGCAACGCGCCGCTCAGTCATGAAGGACGCACGAAAAAAAAAAAAAGCGCACAGGACGAATGCTGGTGAACAACTGTCACAGCTCGACACTGGAAGCGTGCTGTTTAAACAAACCAAGAAGGGTGCTGAAAAGAACACACATGATGGATCCATAGGATGAGTGTAAAATAACCACTGTCTCAGTTCTTACTTCTTCGTTGTTTAGCAGCGTGCTGCAAGTGTCAACTGCGCACAAGCTGACACTCTTGATGGGGTGGTGCCATCGAATTTCAAGGCTATAGCCAGCACCGTGTGGGTTTAAGAATATATTTTAACTCACTTCCCAAGTGTACCTCAATGCTCATTCTCCTAATCAAGGCCCATCGCGAGCGCGTCCAACACTGACGTAGCTCTATAGGAAGGGCAACAAAAGTTCTGTCACGTCACACCAGATCTGTAGTCAGGTGAGTGACCTCCGGACTTCTGCACCGTACATAACGGCAAAGCATCGCGGCTGCTGCGAATAGCGACGAGTTTGTTTTGCAGGTGCTTGTGTGCCACATGTGTGCGAGAGCTGACCGTACTGAGCATGACGCGTGCAAAGCTTTGTGATCACATATTTGCACAGCGCAAGACAACGAGTAGTTAGGACGTAACTAAAAACGAAGACACAAGCGCTCTGCACACGGGTGAATGCGCAGTCCGCACGAAGGAGTTGCTGCACAATCAAACATAGAAGGCTATTGGTAGCAGGTGTGATAGCAGTCATTTATTTGCTCCTGTTGTCATGCGGAGAAATGTATCTTGGGAAAACGGGCCGGTGCCTGAATGAGCATTTAAAGGAGCATCATTACCATGTATACTCGGCTGTGCAAGGTCATTTTGGTATCCATTGTAAAGATTGTGGTTGCAGACCAGAATTCGAAAAGTGCACTGTTGTAGCCAAACACCGTCAGCAGCAAACGTGAGAGATTATTGAGGCCAATCAAATGCAAATTCTGGGTGATCGATGCATCAGCATGGTTTCGGTTGCTCTGACTAAAAAAGAAATCGAGTTTCTGGCTTTGACACAATAGATTGTGAATTTGTGCTGAGGTGTGTTGTTATTTGTCTTGCTATGATGCAATAGGTTGCGCGATTGCGTGGTGATGTTCTGCCACGAGTATATATTTCCAGTGTTATCGCAAATGAAATTTCAGTTGAAGTCGGCGCTCTTTCTGTCCTTGTGTCTTCTTCTGTAGTTACGTCATAACTACTCATTCTCTTGCGCTGTGCAAATATGTTGATTCCCAATCACCAACTAGCCCAAGCACCTGTCTTATCAAGTTACATTTGTGATCACGTGACTAAGTCAGCTACACTGCTACGTGCCCAACTCGGTCCCCACAAATAGGAACTCAAAATTGTCCATATAAAAAAGGAGACAAATTAAATAGCGAGAATCTTGGTGCATGTATCATGCTTGTTGGAGCTATAATTAAAGCTTGCGGCAAAGAGCGCGCAAGCCACAAATATTGTGGCATGACCTCTTTAAGGCCTGACTACACGTGTGCGTTGAAGCCCATCACCGCGCAGCTTTCCGGCATGGCATCGTGCCCTCTGCCTATGGGGAGTCTGGGAGAGGGTGTGAGAAGTTATTAATACTATGGTGTTTTTTTTTTATAGTTGTGATATCCATATATTTATTGTAAGTGCTAAAATTGGTCATTTTTGAAAATTTTGAAGTGAAAAATTTCAATTTAGCATGCCACCTTCAGTCCTTAAAAAACTTGCAACAGGTCCAGGAAAGTCCTTGAATATGCTTGAATTTTCACTTTGGGAACCTGTACGAACCCTGTTTGAAGTGTCGACATAGTTGTCTTCAGATGTTATGAGACGACCATGTGATAAAATGAAAAGTTGTTCTGTTAACATAGTGCCAAAAATTTGGCTTTGGGAGCAAACATACTTTCTCATAGAAACTTTTGGTGTTCAGTCTACTTTTCTGAGTTGGTGGCATTTGAATGCTACTGAAATGCAGTTTCGCTGCTTACCAGAGGAGGGTAGTTAGGTATGAATTACTGCTGGGTAAGCCATTTCTATATTGAACTTTAATTTTGCTCATATTTTTAAGTTTTTTACCGAGCATTGTAGAGAGGATTTTTGTTTATTGTAATCTTCCTTGAAGTTGACAGTGTACTGTCATCTTTCGCTGTATTGAGTTCTTGGACCAGCTGGTTACCACAAATACATATAAATAGTTAAACAATAACCCTGCAAAAAATAGCCAGCAACTCATACCATGTTCAATAAGCCAGCAACTTATGATTTGGCCAATTTCTTGCATGATGTGCAGTGATTTTAAAGAAATTTGTCCTTTGGCAAACTGTGTAAAGCATTATACTAATGTTATATACCATTAACTTGTGAGCAGCTCTTAATTTACATGGAATGGTATGAATGTTGTTGTCCTCTCTAACACGTGGTACATTCGTGTTGAATGTCAAGAATGCTGTATATGCATGTAGTAAGCTGAAAATGATGGCTCAATGGGGGTTAAATCATGCTGTCGTGTAGTGTAAACTTCGACGGTGCACAAGTGTATGAATGCATATCATGCTCTTTATATTTGCATTTTTCTCGTTTTTGCTGACTGTCGAAAGCTGGATATCCAAAATGCATGTTAGGGAATAATTTCGTCTCTTTATGTCATGCTTTAATATGTTCCTGTATTGAGTGCAATTTTAATACACATCTTATTGTGGTTTTATCATAATAAGGCTTTTGTTTTACCACCTGGAAGCATTGTGTTAGTGCTAATCACCTATAATACCTTAACACAAAGACTTAAGTTTGTTTTGTTTGTGTTGAAGTACAGATAAAATCAAAAATCTCTCTCTCTGCCACGATGCAACCAAGTAGACTGCAAACACTGTGCCATGCTGCCTGGGTGTTGCTGTCAGACTGGTGAATTTTGCCAGTGCGTTCCATTTCCTGATGTAGCTCAAAGTGCACCATGCTTCTTCTATGCCCCCCCCCCCCCCCAGTATTTACACAGCTGATTCTATCATCAACAAATAAATCTGCTTGCCTGATTGCGCATCCCGGCACTTTATTTTTGAAATTATTGTCACACTTGCCAGCTATGTCCGTAAGCCTATGTTTGTGTAGCTGTACATGTTGCTTTTCTTGCTGCAGCTTTTAGGCTTCACATTCTTTTGAAACATGTTGCTGTTTATGTTGCCTCTCCACTACTATATCATTCCTTTCTAGTTCACACGATTTTCGTTAAAGTGATTAGTTGTTTGCTTTCTATAAATACACGCTTAGGAGCATCACTCTTTTATGCTAACATGATCAATCAGGGTTTGCATTTTGTGTAGATTTTGACGCTGCTATGATTGAAGAGTGCTAAATCATGAGAGTGGGATGAGAACTTGGCTTGTCATGTTTCACTTCACAGCTTTAATGTATTTCATTAATTATATGCCTATCTTTTATCTGCTTCTTAGATTCAAACATGTACGTTCCAGTGTTTAGGGTGCCCTGCAACACTTTTTCAAGTAGCCATGGAATAGATTCAATAAAGGAGCTTATTGCCTCACAAACTGACCACCACAAAAGTTTTTCACTATCCGTCCAGTACAAGTGGAGTTACAATGATATGTCACACGCTGAAATTGCTTTCTTTCTTCTCTTGTCCAAACGAAAGCGCTAGAAGCTAGACAGGCAGTGGTGGCACAAGTGAAGAAGGTACGTCACCAGTGATGTTCCGTGCTGAGAATTTTTCCTTTTTCGGGGAATTTTCACCTGTCGTTTTGAGCCGAAGGGAAAAAGGAAACTTTTGTGATATTCCAGGGAATTCCAGGAATGGGTAAATTCTTCTATGACGACTGCTAATCAGCGGTCAGTGTGTGCCCTCATCTGCTGCAATCGGCTCTGACACATGCACCACGCAGGCATAGCCCTTGAGATTCGGGGAGAGATTTCTAGTTCACCCTTGGTGTTAGTTTTGAAGCCCACATTGGGCAGTCTACTAACAGTATATGAATTGTGATGCTTTTGTTGTGCAGCAGTGGAGGGGCTAGCTATGATTCCAAAAGTCGCCAGTACTTATACGTCAGATACGTGTAATTATAGTATGTGGGTGCATAGATGGATGCGGAAATTAGTACTGTTGTCCAGGGAAATATGCTGGGAATTTCATCAACGTTTGCAGGGAAAAAAATCCCCAAATAGAAAATTTTCATGTCTCTGAATGGGAATTTTTCGGCGTAGTATGGAACATCACTGTACATCACGTGCTCCTCGTGACATTGAACACTTTTTTATATTTTTTCTTCAGACGCGTGGCTTTTCAGTGCGATCGCATGTGAATGCAAGGATGCATCGTGGCATTCTGCGGCAGCCTCGGTAACTCCCGATGTGCCATGCTCAAATTGGCCAATGGCATGATAAGAGAGCCTATGAAGCTAGTTTTTTAGCATATGGCATCATTTCTTGAGGGAAGAGAAGGTGATTTTTAGCTGACTGACAATTTATTGTAAATTTCAGGCCACATGCTCTGCTGTAATATTAGGCTTCCATGTTATCAGGAGCCTTGACTACCCACCGGAAGCATTTTCTGACCATGCTCAAAAAGTTTTGCAGGGCCTCTTTAAGATGCTAATTCCACAGAAAACATAATGAAATTAACTCCCACACTTTTATTTCAAATTTTATTACAATAAGCATATTGCATGTTTATGGAAATATGCCTTCGGGAGCTTTTTAGGCAATAAAGAGAAAATGAGCATTATTGTTGTTGCTTGCATATTGGTTGGGTTGATCAAGTCACTAAAACAAAATTTTTAAATAACATAAAGACCAAATTTTGGACGTTTTAAAAGGGTCTCTCTGATTTGCTTCAAGCATTGTGGCCACAAATGTATTTGTTTCTATTCAAATCATATTATGGGCTACATTTTTCATTTGTTGAATTTAAGAATAGACTGGCTACTAAAGGTGAGAGGAGGAAAATTTCAGTCACTACACCACCAATTAATCACTTTGAATCACTGGCAGATTGTACAACTCTTGCCTTTTGAGCAATCAACTTTACCCAGGCAGATTTTAAAGGCCTGTAATTCTAAATAACCTTATAGATGGCAGTGTAAAGTAATGCAATCTATTTTACCACACTGTGATGACATAAAAAGTTGAATGATTTTTTGGATATTATCGTGATTACGTTATTCTAAAGATTATTAAACTGAACTTTGTTTTAGTGTGCTGTACAAACCAGTCCAGAACAGCACAGCTTATAAGGCTCTCTATAAACAAGTACAATATCCGAACACTTAATTATTTTTAATGGCCGAGAACAGAATGCACAACATGCGATTCCAGTCACTGCATGGCAATATTGGCGTCCCGCTTCTTTACTTGTACGTTTAGTTATATTGACTGTTAAATGTTATCAAGCAAACCTACCCAGAACAGTTCCCTTCTAGTAATGTGTCTATAAAATTACCTACTGAATAATTCAACATTGTTGTGTATTTAGGAATTAGAAATACTAAGGCATGAAGTGATACTGCGGAAGTGCTTATTGCCCATTTTTGGTGGGCTTGGTGTCTGTGCCACTGCACGGATCACTAATCAATTCGCTCCCGCTATGCAGATGGTCCGTTACGTCATCGCTCATCTGCTGCTACCTGCGCTTGCGCATGCGGTAGCGCCGGCGGAACATGGCTTCAGCTGTCCTGGAAGCGACGAAGGCAGCGCATGCCCTCTGCCTATCGTCAAATGCCTGGCTCGACCAGAAGAGGGACTCTGGGCAGCTGAGCTCAACCAAGCCTGGACGGTTGCATCATCATCGACATCCACGAGCCCGACACCTATAAAAGAACAAGGACCTTCAACGGAGCGCTGTGGGCTTGGTGTCTGTGCCACTGCACGGATCACTAATCAATTCGCTCCCGCTATGCAGATGGTCCGTTACGTCATCGCTCATCTGCTGCTACCTGCGCTTGCGCATGCGGTAGCGCCGGCGGAACATGGCTTCAGCTGTCCTGGAAGCGACGAAGGCAGCGCATGCCCTCTGCCTATCGTCAAATGCCTGGCTCGACCAGAAGAGGGACTCTGGGCAGCTGAGCTCAACCAAGCCTGGACGGTTGCATCATCATCGACATCCACGAGCCCGACACCTATAAAAGAACAAGGACCTTCAACGGAGCGCTGTGGGCTTGGTGTCTGTGCCACTGCACGGATCACTAATCAATTCGCTCCCGCTATGCAGATGGTCCGTTACGTCATCGCTCATCTGCTGCTACCTGCGCTTGCGCATGCGGTAGCGCCGGCGGAACATGGCTTCAGCTGTCCTGGAAGCGACGAAGGCAGCGCATGACCTCTGCCTATCGTCAAATGCCTGGCTCGACCAGAAGAGGGACTCTGGGCAGCTGAGCTCAACCAAGCCTGGACGGTTGCATCATCATCGACATCCACGAGCCCGACACCTATAAAAGAACAAGGACCTTCAACGGAGCGCTGTGGGCTTGGTGTCTGTGCCACTGCACGGATCACTAATCAATTCGCTCCCGCTATGCAGGTTGGTGAGCCCTACGTTGTCTTTTCGAAAAGATCTGGTAATTACTTTCTGGTACAGCTGCCAAGCCCGCATTGCTGTATGGTTATTATTGCCGAGTGTGTCCATGTAATTCGTGCACTACTAATTCTAGCTGGAGATGTTGAAACTAACCCTGGCCCTTCAAATATCTCTGAGAACCTTCTTGCTGAATTGCGTAAGCTATCTACAGGTCAAACACAACTAATTGCAGAAGTACAGGGCTTGAAGTCTCAGCTCGGTAACACCGATAAAACAATTGGCGAACTGAACAAAAGATTATCAGACCTTGAAAGTCATTATCAGTCTCTGGTACCACTTCGAAAAGAAATAGAAGTCCTGCGCGTTAACACGGAGCAGACCTCCTGCAGAATCTTTGCACTAGAAGCCCGTATTGATGACGCTGAAAATCGCTCAAGGCGAAACAACCTAATATTTTACGGTATCCCGGACCCTTCCGCATCTGAAACATTTTCTGAATCGGAGCGGCTGGTAATGAATCTTTGCCGGGACAACCTACAGGTTCACTTAGAACCAAGAGATATCGAACGCGCGCATCGTCTCGGTCGACATTCACCTGAACGCTCCCGGCCCATAATCGTGAAGATTGCTCTGCACAAGACAAAAACTGCAATATTATCGAATGGTCGCAAGCTTAAGGGGACAAGTTACGGCATAGGTGAAGACTTCTCACGCTCAGTCCAAAATGCTAGAAAACAACTAATTGCTTTTGCGAGAAGTAACAACAAGCCATTTTCAATGCACTTCAAAACACTGCACATGAATCAGAAGCGCTACATTTTCGACGCCGAATCAAACACCGTCAAAGAACTATCGTAGCAATCAAGCCACCGGGAAAAAAAAACGACCGCTGTTGCGGTTACTAGCAAAACTCTTTCACTTTCTGTTATTTACACTAACATTCGCAGTTTCCTACCCAAACGGGAACTTATATCTAGCACTGTATCATCCTCTGAAAGCAATGTGCTATTACTTACCGAAACGTGGTTAACTGATGACATCCGTGATGACGAAGTTCTGTCAGAATTACCAAACTTCCAGTTGTACAGGAATAACCGCGCATCTACTCGTGGTGGCGGTGTACTCATTGCTGTTCACGAGCAATTATCTTGCTCAGTCGTACATATTAAAACAGAGCTAGAAATGCTCTGGGTACTTATTAAGGCACATCCTCAGTCCGTTGTACTGGGCGTTTGCTACCGACCACCCCGTGCTAGTTCCAATTTTAGCAACCAACTTAATCAGGCCATGTGCCAGCTCACGTCTGCTCATCCAAACGCGCACGTACTTTTATTCGGTGATTTTAACTTCCCACAAATAGAATGGCGCACCAGCAATGTGCATTCATCTACGGGTGTAGGTGAAGCTAATGCGTTTCTTGATATTTGCCTAAACTTCAACATGTCCCAACTAGTCACAGAGCCAACACGTGTATCGCAAGATACAGCCAGTGTCCTGGATCTGATACTAACCAACAATCCTGAAAGCCTGTCACGCATTCACTATCTACCCGAAATCAGTGACCATAAGACAATTCACGCCACTTTTTCTTTTCAACCGCTTAAACGAGAAACCTACAAAAAAACGATCCATCTATATGACAGAGGGGATTACGAAACAATAAACGAAGCTCTTAGCGCATTCTTCCACACTTTCCAAGCAACTTTACATCAACACACAGTAGATACGAATTGGACCCGCTTTATCGGTAAACTGACGGAGCTAACCGATAAATTCATACCTAAAGTCAGCTTCACAAGCACCTGCAACAAACCCTGGTTTACTAAAAATCTAAAACGCCTTGAAAATAAAAAGAAACGTTTATTCCGATCTGCCAAACGTGCAGGTCAACCGAGTGTATGGGATAGGTACTATGAGGCTGACCGCAATTATCTTTTAGCCCTGCGCAAAGCAAAAAACTTCTTCTATAACACAGACCTACCCAAGCTACTGCAGACTAATCCCAGACAGTTCTGGAAAACACTTAAGGCTGACAAACCGCGTGACACTGTACTAACCCTTGAATCTGGTGAAGCTATTACTGACGGGGAATGTGCGAATCTATTCAACGCTTCTTTTGCTACAGTTTTTACTGATGAACCAAGCATACACTCCCGCATACCTTCACTTGGCTTTAATTGTAATCATGACATGCCAGCAATCAATTTCTGCGCAAATGGAATATTGTCTATAATAGAAAAAATGAAATTGTCATCCTCTGCCGACCTATCCAAAATCTGTTAGAAATTCACTATAAATTCTGATTTACTCCTTTGTGTCACTTAGGTCGATTCACCTATGGCTGCTTATTTTTCTACAGACAATCTTAACAGGTTTCTTTCGCCTACGTTCCACTCAGCAATTCATATTAATGCAAGAAGCATCCGGAAGCATTTCGACGATATACAACTTCTTTTATCCGCTCTTGACAACCCTTTTTCACTTATCGGTATCTCTGAAACCTGGCTTAACGATGACGACAAAAATCTATTTGATCTTCCTTCGTATAAGTCTGAATATTCGCATAGAGCAAACAACAATCATGGTGGCGTTGCTGTTTATATCAAGTCGAACGTACACTATAATCGACGATACGACATAGAGTTAGATGTCATTGATTGCGAAAGTGTTTGGGTTCAACTTAACTACGATTTTCTTAAACTTGACAACAAGAGCTTCATCTTTGGGTGCATTTATCGATCCCCATCTTCATCAGTGAAAAATTTCTGTGAAGCCCTCCAAAACGTAATGCACACATTGGCTCTCAATCACGCAAATGTAGTGATCATGGGTGACTTTAATATTAATTTGCTTGACCTTTCTTCTCCTAGTTCTTTGAACTACTCCAGTGTTTACCAGAGTTTTGGCTACGAATGTTTAATATCCATTCCCACGCGCTGCATCAATAACGGAAGTACCCTGATCGATCATGCACTCTCTAACTTATCTGTAGCACCGGATGCAGGGGTTCTTAAGGTCGACATCAGTGACCATTACCCGATTTTCGTGCGCTTCAACTGCCACGCTACGCCAACTAGCATAATTTTCATTAGGCAACTTCTAGACAGGGAGTCGTTCATTCACGATGTTATGTCCACTGACTGGTCCTCACTAATATGCTTAGATGATCCACAAATGGCCTACACAGAATTTTCATCCATATTATTGTCCTA